CTCGAATGGAGTCGAATGGTTTTAGTAAGTATCTTTCATTATATTTTTTACTTCAATACTATATATATATATATATATATATATATATATATATATACCACTGAGCATATACCGAAAATGCTGTTTTTCATTCAAATAACTATATAGATAATCGGTGCAAATGTAGAAGTATTTAATTTACTCATCTTTCTTGTACTTTATGTCATTTTTTTAAATGAATCTCGTACTTTCTACCTTCCTGAAAGGTAAATTAGTTGGTGCTATATGTATTTCTAATAACTGTAATCACTATTAAATAGGAAGAATATATTTGTAAAATCTCAGTGAATGAATTTGAAGTAAATCCAACGTTTTGCCTTTCAATCTGGTCCAAGCTTTTTCAAGGAATTATAATCAAACATCAAAATCGAATATAAATAGGTTCATGGTTCTCCGGTTCACTGTATACTGAATAGGTCATCCAATCAATGTTAAAAATGTTTAAAGTAGGTATTTGTATTAGTGTATAAGAGACCTGTGGTGTGAAACAAAAAGTTTTAAGATAACCTATTTAATGTCTCATATCCACCCGGCGCCCAAATACTGTGAAACTATTCTATCTAATTTAGACGAAAGTCTTTATGTAATCATTATTTTCTAAAATTCAATAGCTGAAGTCCTTAAGCTACTTCATATACATATATATTAAAGAATAACTTACAGTCTAATCATTGACCTTACTTGTGGATTCTTTATACCATTCAAATGATAATTAGGACTTCGATTTATACCCTCAAAAATTATATTTACAATTATTTCGTGACATTCTTTTATATTTTGCATTCCATCACTGGTCTATTCCTTTCTTCCATTCGGTATATTCTTTTAATTTCCAACTCATATATCAGGTCGCTAACATTGGAAATCCTGTATCATCCAGACGCTCTCAAGCCACTGATTGGCCGTAAGTTGAATCAAACCACCGATTACGAATAAGTTTCGGAGTAATTATCTATTCTCTGATCATACTCTTGTTTGCGCTAATCTTACCTTACGTTTCAGCAGCCAATAAATACATCCCCCTGAACAGATCAATATCAGCAAATTGGTTGCAGCTTCTGTTGCAACCAAAATATCAAGCGGAGCTAGTTCAAGGTTAGTTATCAACCCACCGAAAAGTGTAGATGAGCACTGGCTGCAGTTGCATGACGCCACGAAAATGGCGATTAAAGTCGTTTACAACTTCGCGAAACGTCCCGCCTACAAGGACTGGGTTTCTACAGGCTCCTTACAACTCACTGGAGCACGTGGATCTACTTCGGGTGACTGCGAGTTTGACTATAAACGAATATTGTTATGTAGTGAAATTGTGCAAAGCTTACGTAAGGACCGAGAAGCCTGGTAGTCGCAGTGTGCTAACGAGTTGGAAACAGATACTGGATATGGTAACTGCCTGGTGCTCTTTCAGTTCATCTAATTCACTGGCAGAAAGCCTGGTTTGAGTGAAACAATCTGTGATGGCGGGATGCCAATCACTAACATACTTCGACGTCTTGGACGATGGGGAGGGTTTTTCGAGGAGCAGTTCAACTGGTCTGCTGCTCTGGCGACATCTATCAAACTGTCCTGCAATCCACGGCTCATGATGACTGGTCCACCTAACGAGGCGAAAGTCTGCAATAAACTCGAACTCCTGAAGTGCCACAAATCACAGGTCTCAGATAACTTATCTCCGACCCTCTTTACGGAGGTGGACACTTTCTGTTTATGGAACCGGCTGAGTTGTTTACAAAGGTCTGGTAATTAGAGAGTGTTCCTGCATGGTGAAATGAGTCAAAAGTCGTCTCTATCTTGGAAAAAGGTTCGCGTCGTTTCTGCAAAAACTATCGGGAGATAAGTATACTTCCGAATAAGTTCAAACTATTGGCTTTCGTCATACTTCGTAGATTGTTCGAAATCAGAGAAAGTTTGACTCGCGAGAAGCAGGATGGTTTTCGTTCTGGTCGAGGATGTATTGATCATATCTTCACCCTCCATCAAATGTTAGAACACTGTCATATTTATCATAGGCCTACAATCGTAATGTTTCTTGATATCAGGGCTACCTTTGATTCGTTGAACAGGACTGTGCTCTGAGATTGTCTATTGAAGAAGGGTGTGCCTGAGAAGTTTACTAACATCTTGAAAGCCCTATATATAAATACCTCAGACTGAGTAAGGGCACACAACCACCTTTCTCCATTGTTCCATTTAAGCAGTGGGGTTAGACAGAGTTACTCAATCTCACCATTCCTCTTCAACTTCGCCATCGATGACGTTCTGGGTACAGGTCTGATGGATGTAGGTAATGGCGGTGTTAATCTGTTGCCTGGAGAAAGATGTTTTGACCTCGAATACGCGGATATCCTACTGTGCAATAATACACAAGTCATGCAATCCGCACTTAATCGGTTGGCAGTCATTGTCCATAGGTACGGCATGTGGTTTTTACCTTCTAAGTGTCAAGTACTTTTACAAGACTGACAGTACCCTGATCATGAACTCATCCTGGGTAGTAAGCGGATAGAAGTAATCAAGAAGTTCGTTCATGTAGGCAGCTGCATAAGTGCTGGTGACTGCTCAAATGATGAGATCAATTCACGTATCGTGAAAGTCAGAGTGACTTATGAAAATCTGAGCCATCTTTGTCACCTTCGTGATGTTGGTCCGGTTGTAAAATGTCAAATCTATAATGCGTCTATGGGAGTCGTTTTGTTTCATGTTTGTGAAACCTGGCCTCTCCGAGTTGACGATGTTAAGCGTCTCTGTATTTTGCAATTTTTGTATACGAGGGATTACTGACAATATAAGGGCAACACCTTATAAGTAATGCAAAAGTTTGTCAAAGTGTGTTAGGGCCTAGCGACTATACTTCGATTGGTGTCTATCTTGAGACACTGACTTCGGTGGCTTGAACATGTCCTACGAATGTCGTCCCAGCGAATTTCACGTCGTGCACTATTTGCCGATGCTATAAGTGTATATAACATGATGTCGTGGTATATAAGAAAGCTGTATAAGACTGGCTTCTGAGGTAAGATGGTGGTTGGAGGTGGTCAACAGGAAACCCGGGTCCACCATCTTACCTCAATATACATAGTGCAAGCAGTGTCGAGCCACCTAGACTGGTGGTCACATTGCAACTCGATCGATAGCATTCGATCAGCACTAAGAAGGACCTGACAGGCATGAGATTGATCACCTTTCAGTGATCAATCAATTGTGAAGACTGGCTTCTGTTAGTCCTTTACGACTCCCTAGTTTTGATTCTTAAGATATTCCAACACAATAGACCGAAACATTATCATATATAATTTATTTATAACAATCTACCCAATGCTCAATTTATTCAAAAATTATCAAATCAAGTCTTGGTAATGATACCCATTATCATATATAGTTCAGAGTCGAGCCAGTAGCTATCTTCCTGTAGCTTTCTTTTACTTTCTTCCTATAATATGAGAGTAACTTTGATCGAAATAATCTTTTCTGGCTGGATTTTTCTTAAATAAACTCCCATCATTCTTTTTACTCTCGTTCGTTTTTGTTCCTATTTTATGATACTCATCTTCCTTTATCTGTTCATAATCTTATTTTTATTGTGCTGCGCATATACAGTTCAGTGTTCTTTTGTATTATTGTTTGTTTTTCAATAATAATAATGATTTAAGTCACTCATCTCATTGTCTTTTAAATATGAGTTTTCTGCCAAAATGTGTGGGAGTGACACTTAACAATGTCAAATATTTAGTTGACTTGTTTTTTCCACTCAGTCACTAATCTTACAGTATAGAGATTATATGGCTTGTCGCTTCGTGATTCTGTCCTATCAAGGTTTCTTTCTTATTTTCAATAAGTACTTGCTAACTCAGTAAGTTTCATTCCAATACAAATTACATTTATTTCTTCAATGTTTGCGAAATGTTGTCTACATCATTTTTGTCACTAGGTCTTAGACATTTTCTGGACATTTGATAAATACAGCAGATAAACATTTAGCTTCTGATGAAAAGATTGTGATTAGGTACTTCTCAGCAATCCGTTCTTTTCGATGTTATTGTGGATTACTAAGTTTTGTGTATCATCTATGTGTTTTACTTTTGCGATAATTTTAGCATTAGTTTTATATATATATATATATATATATATATATATATATATATATATATTCAACGCAGCTGCAACTTGGTTGGATTCTTAGTGTATAAACCTCAACACTAGTATCCAGGTATATTCTGCCTAAAAGTTCCAATTAAGTCGAAACTCGTTGCATGGATTATACTGCTAGACACGTACCAAATGTAACAAACTGTATATTTTGTTAATGTATAGTTTTATGATGAATATTGTATTGTGTAATGTAAAATTTAAATTATCATCTACATTACATTATTATCCTGCTCTCTTAGTTAATTTTGTTTGTTTTTTCCACTTTCATTTACCAGTTCTTAACTTGGATGATTTAAATAGATGTCATGATTCATTGTTAAAAGCATGTAAACAATTGGAAAGTGTTGCCTATCGTTTAGCTGGTCAGCCATTTCCTATGGATTCACCGAAAGAAATATCCAAGGTTTGATAAATACATTTTTGCTAGTATCAACAATTTTAGACTGATTTCAAAGAAAAATTAAGTTTAATTTTTTGAATTCAAGATCATAAATGGTATCAATTGTTGTTTGATTGATAATGTTATAAATAAACTGTGCCGATCAAAACCTTGTGTACTATTCAGTTTTCTTTTAATGTGTGAAATGAGTAACTACCTGTTAAGTCGGTTTCCAGAGAACTCCAACAGAGCCTCCAGAGGCTCAAAAAGAGCTCCAACCAATCAGAGCACGACAGAACATTCTGGAGTTCCAACGTGGCATGCTACCATTGGTCAGTAGCAATATATGTCGTTTATTGGATTGGCTGAATTAGGATGTTGATTTAACTTAAGCAAACATCTATAAATACTTACGATTTTTCTGTACAAAACTGAACCTTGTAATAAAGCATCTTCTCGCTACTCGTGTCTTCTCTCTGGTCTTCAAGTTGCTGAGTAGTGCTAGCCTGGGGTTGTCCGAATAGCTTAGGATCTGAATATAGCGTTCAACCCACAAGACATATCAGTGGCGACGGGGAAAAACTACAAGACATATCACTGGCGACGAGAAAAAAAAATGACAATGAGTATTTCTTTAGAGCAATTTGAAGCTTATATGGAGCGTCAAGAAAAACGGTTTGAATAGTCTCAAATCAGAGTCATGGAAGCTCTTATGCAGAAATTATTTATGTCTCAACAAAACTCTGCTGCTGGTGAATTTCAAGTATCTCATACTGACTCAGTTATTAACGCAATCCATGAATTTAATTTTGATGGTGCAGCAGGTGTCACTTTTAACTCTTGGTTTAAGAAGTATGAAGATTTGTTTCATATTGATCTCTGCAGACTGGATGACGCTTCAAAAGTCAGAATACTTCTAAGAAAGCTTGGGACAACAGAACATGAACGCTATAGTAACTTTATTCTCCCGAAGAACCCACGAGACTTTAGTTTTGATGAAACAATTCAAACCCTGTTTCAAATCTTTGGAGAACAGTCGTCTCTATTTAATATCCGTTACCAGTGCTTGAAGATAACGAAAGAATCAGGAGATGACTGGGTGAAACATTCAGGTATTGTGAACCGAGAATGCGAGAGGTTCAATTTGTCTTCCATGTCTGAAGACCAGTTTAAATGCTTAGTATTTGTCTGTAGCCTGCGTTCACCTGAGGATGCTGACATCCGAACGAGAATCCTAAGCAAACTTGAGCATTGTCCCAACATGACCCTGCAGGAAGTGACTAATGAATGTCAAAGGTTAGTGAATTTGAAGCACGATACCTCGATGGTAGAAAACACTAACCAGTTCCTCCACGTTAATGCTGTTGAGAGGAAAGTCGAGCAAGGTTCCAGTATACAGAATTACCGAAATGACTGCGGTAAACCATCATCCCCATGCTGGTTATGCGGAGGTTGGCATTTCAAAAGGTTTTGTCTGTTTAAAAGTCATCGTTGTACTACGTGTTCCAGGAAAGGACACAAAGAAAGTCATTGCAAAACCCGTAAACGTCGTCAACCTAAAGTTTATTCTAAAAGATTCAAGCCACGCACAGCCAAGGTGACGGTAGCTGCTAACAGAATCGGCTCCCATAATCGTAGAAAGTATGTTTCCCTCAAGATTAACGGGTACGATGCCCGCTTACAGCTAGACACAGCCTCCGATATAACGCTTATAAGCAGGAGGACGTGGGAGAAAATTGGGAGGCCGAGAATATTTTCAACCTATCAGACAGCACACGGCGCATCTGGGGGGATTATAGACATTGCTGGTGAGGTTCACTGTAAAATCACAGTCGCAGAGCTTACAAAGAAGGGAGTAATATTTTTAACAGAACGACCAGCACTCGACTTATTGGGACTTGATTGGATAGAAAAATTGAAATTATTAGATCGTCCCATAAATTCATTCTGCAACAACGGCACTATGTCGAAAGTTGGGGACCCAACATTGTTTCGTGGGGGAGGTTGAAGTCAGCAAATGCAGTCTGGATACCTACCCCGCTTCTTCAAAAAAGGGGAGGTGTTAAGTCGGTTTCCAGAGAACTCCAACAGAGCCTCCAGAGGCTCAAAAAGAGCTCCAACCAATCAGAGCACGACAGAACATTCTGGAGTTCCAACGTGGCATGCTACCATTGGTCAGTAGCAATATATGTCGTTTATTGGATTGGCTGAATTAGGATGTTGATTTAACTTAAGCAAACATCTATAAATACTTACGATTTTTCTGTACAAAACTGAACCTTGTAATAAAGCATCTTCTCGCTACTCGTGTCTTCTCTCTGGTCTTCAAGTTGCTGAGTAGTGCTAGCCTGGGGTTGTCCGAATAGCTTAGGATCTGAATATAGCGTTCAACCCACAAGACATATCACTACCATAACTTTTTTAGGCATCAATTCCAATGTCGGACTTGATAGCTTCAAACAAATTGAGTAGACAGTCAACAATAAATATTTTTCTGTTATGTCCCAACGAGTAGAAAAATTGTATTTCTGACGTTTCGTGAATTAATGTAAGCCACTTCTTCAGGGTAAATAACCGAAACAAGTTAACAAAAGTTTAAATAATGCAAAGGGAACAATGCATTGGCTTTCCGGAAACTTCAGTTTGATGTCTATATCTATTTACAGTTATGTATTCTCTCAAATAAACAGTTTAATGAAGGAGTTTTCACGGCTTCATTTGATAACATAATCAGTAGGAACTTTGTAAATTAAGATCACTTCTCACTAACTAATGATGATCACTCACGAATTTTTAGAATGTTACACTTCAAACAGTCTTATCATTAATAGTACTTATTTTGACAATATTTTTTTATTTGAAAAGGTTCTTTTCAAATGGCTACATTTACCTCAAATAACTGATCCTAATGATTTAATAATGAATAGAAAACGTAATCAATCCTATTTATTGAATGGGCGTAATCGTTCAAATCATTTACCCAAAGCTACTAATACACTTCTCTCGAAACTTACAAATCTTCATCCATTACCAGCTGTTATTATGGAATGGCGTCATATCAACGGTATTTTAGAAAAAATATTTAACTCACTAGTATCTACATGTCGTCTTATCTATATATCTAGTATCGGGGATCAGGTAAGAATAATAACTTTGCCAATAAATTCCTTTCCAAACATTTAATGTTCAATGTTTTATGATTTCCGTCCTAATGTTTTGTAAACAATAGATGCTTTTTAATGCAACTGGTCTTAGTAGGAGAGAAAAACGTTCTATTGACTACTTTTTTCGAAGAAACTAATCTGCATTATCTGACCTAAGTTACTTACATAATCAAAATAAAAGTTCAGTCTATCGACACGTGGTACATTACATTTAGTAAAGCATGAGGTTGTTTCAGAATAGCAGTAATATTCGGTAGTTGTGTGTAAAATTCAGTGGTATTCCAGTACTATTCGCCGTTTCCGTAGCACAGAAAACGTATTTTTAAGTCTGCAATCTCATTTTTATCACTGGTTGGCTGTAATTGTTGAATATATACGGAACTGCAGACTATTAAATGTTTTAATGATCTATTTCCGTTTTGTTTTCTCCTTTACACTTTGTTTCGGTTCACTGGGTAAAATATATAACCTGAATATTTAATCGTTAAGACAATAGAGCGACGTCAGGAGATGCAGGCTGATAATAGCTCCTCAAAATAGGTTCATGCACCATACGATCTTTTAAGATTCTGGAGCACATTTACTCCATTAATTTCAAATTAGATTTTTTCAACCCACATTAGGATGAACAACCTTTATCCACCAACACAGTTTCGATGCTTCACTTTAGGGGTATTTCAAGGAAAGAAGCTGATTTCTTTCATCTACTGTACAGTTGCATTTTCTGACTCAGCAGCCTGAAACATTACCAGGCACGACTCATACAAGTCAGAGTCTATAGTTTAATAGTTTCCTATCAAATCTTTCTTAATAGTAGAATAGACCTTCCCAACTGAAAAATGTCTATCTAAGTTGATTGGATATTTTTTCTGATTTATGGTACAGTAAAGACACTACATTTTTGCATGTTTTACTCTATAAATGTCCTATTTTTTCAAACACTGGGTGATATATATAGTAATTCTCAAAATAGCTGCGGAATACATGTTGATTTTTATAAAACTATAATAATAGTATTTTTCAAATACTACAGTACACTAAATTAGTTATTATATGTTAAACATCCTACTAATTACACTTCTTTTAATAGAACGTTTGAAACAAAGAAGCATAATTGGTATGAATCTAGGTCTGCTTTTACAAATAGTATTTATGTTCAGCATACTTCGAAATCGTTATCATCAATTGAGTGAATAAACACTATATTTCACTAAAAGAATTGTACTAATTTGTAAATGATCAGAAGAATCAAGTTACATCACTATGACGTTGTTTTATATTATTTCAAATTAGTAGCATATATTGTAAAAATTCATAATATTGATAGATTTACGAATAGAATTTTGACCAGTGTTGATAGTGCCGAGAATTCGCTGTTGAAAGTTTAGTATTATCATTCTATAATAATGTGACGATTTTCTCTTGCTTCTACTTGATTACCTAAATGCTAATAGGCATTTTCTAGCTTCCATCTGATTTGAGGTGCTAATTTTGCAAAATCTTGTGTACAACTGGCTTTACTGTTCAATATTAATAATAAATCTTAATTTATTACTGTATTCACATATAGATTGTCGCACGTATTATAATTTGAACATATTTCACATTTATTAATTCGGTCAGTTATAAAAAATCAGGACATAGTGCGTTTATACATATCGACTCAAGTTGTCAGACTACGCTAGCATAGGAACATGAAGCTGTCAAAGCAAATGCTAGAGTAGTAGAATTACTGGCAGTATCAGTAGTAGTGTGGTGTGGTCTACTTATATCCATATAAGTAGTATATGGTGTGGGTCAGACATAGAATGTATTTTGGCAGTAGACCGATGAGGAAAGAACTGAAATGAAGCGCAATCGTTTGGAAAATGCATGAGCAATGGAATAAGAAAAGAAACAGTGAAGATTGAAACAATTGGTTGTTAATTTGCAAATTGACTGTTCATTGTTTGGTAATCAGAATTTACTGAGATAGTCTGTAATGTTTGCTTAAATACATTCGATTGTCCCCAGTCGTGTTCTGTTCATTACAGTAGTACTAGAAGATATTAGGCATAAATAATATAGTTTCAATAGAATGAGTGGATTTGAGGAGTGAAAAAATAAAACAAACATTAAACTTATCTACCCCATCGCCATCAATTGTAAACCATATCATCCAATTTCTTCAATCATTGATTATAACGGTCGCAAACACTCCAACCAGGTAATCTCCACCTTAAAAAAATTCTTATATTCAACATTGTAATATAGCTGAACAATTGTCTAGTAAACAGTTGTTTTGTGACTGTTTATGTATTTTGACTCTTTATTATTTACCTCAAGAAAAACAAATCATATTGCTTAAGGAACCCCTTATTATTAATATTATTATTTTCTGATTTTTTTCTTGTTCGTTCAATGCATTTTCATGATGTCTTGTTTTTTTCTGCTTACTTTTCTTTACTTCTCTGATCTGTTTCCTAATAATATACAGCCATTACGTATATCACCTACATATGATGTTTACACAGCTACTGGTCGAATTATATCTATTATGCCTAATTTACAATCTGTTCCAAAAGATATTGTTATTGATTGGTCTAAATTACACTATAAATCGCCAACAGTAGACAATAACTGTCTTAATAATAATTCAGAAAAATGGACTTCACCATTTGATCAAATATTAAATGAACTGCCTAAATCAATTGAAGTAAGTTTCTCTATTTTTTCTTGTTTGAATAAAAGAAAATTGATTTTATAAATATCATGCGATATAAAGTCAGTTACAACATAGAACGTGGTACGTATGTACATCGGTTTAAGTTGCCATACCCCATTAACTCAGGGGGATAAGATTGTTAGCCCAAATCCCAGTATACTAGATTTAGTAGAGGTATCAGTGGTAATAGAGAAAATTTAGGCATCGACGGTAAATTAGCGAAATAATAACAAAAAAGGTTATGAAAAATTCGAAGTCTCAGAATTTTGGAAGAGGCAAAGAATGGATGCATTTGCGTTATTGAAAACGATTTTGAGCCATATCATTCATACCTTGTAATCATTGGTTACGATAATCACGCGGACCACAACCAGTTAGTCTACACCTATTAACATGGCTGAGTTCACTCGTTAGTAACTTCATAGATTGATCCCCTATTTTAATTTGCACACCCCCAAGCTTCCTTCTAGCCAACCCTGACGAACACCACTTGAAGTAGCCAATTCCGAAGACAGTTCTCCATAAGCTCTGACTTAACTAATAGTGTTTGAGTAGAGAGCTTGTACAAGATTAACGTACTTCTCTGGTCCGTCTTTCAACTGCTAAAACTAAACCACTACTCTTGTAAATCACACGTGTTAGTCCATCAAGCCTTACTTCTCTCCCTCGCTTTGGATAACTTATAGCCTTTCAGCGTCACTAAGAATTGAAAAACTTGCATCAGTTTAGCCATTCAGGTTGCTTGGAGATAATATGTAACTGAAGCGTGGCTGAAGGCCAGTTGAACCGTTCCCTAAAGTGTTCTACTTATCGGTCCAATCTCCTAGATAGAGAGTGAATGATAGTCCCGTTTTTTTCACGAAATATACTCACAAAGAGATGGTTTTTTATGCATATTTCCTTGGTAATTCTGAATAGTAGTCTACCGATAGTTATCTCTGCTGCCTTTTCCATTTCTTTTGCTTTCGCTACTCACCACTGCTCACGATCATTGCGTAGGCTTTTCCACCAGCCAAAGTTTAAGCTGTCTAAGGTCCTCATCGTGTCTGGAGCTAAACGGTATGAGTTTCTGATCGTCTATCTGTTCTGTTGACGCTGAGACCCACTGATTTTTCCTTACCTTTCCGTTTGAGTTCCTAGTAGATGTCACTGCTGTTTCCACAGGGTTTTTGATATCATATCAAGCTGACTCGAGGTGGATGTCACTTTCACGGATAACTAGCTCCCTCTCTAGTCCCTGAACTATATTACTAACCTCTTCATCATTAACTTGGACTCTTAAAATTTTTCTTGCTGTGGCTTTTCTAAGTTCAGTAAAACACAAACAAATACGTTCTCAAACTGAGTCATGATCCTAGTCTAAAAATGGGCTCCAGAGTGAGCCACAGTCTTCATCCAAGCCCCTTCAACGATGAGTAATGACAATGTGATCTATTCGAGTTCATCAATGAGTCGATTGTGGAGGTCGCCATGTTAGACGA